GAGACTATAGGTAGGCTTTAGGGTTTCGGGATCCTGCAAGCCACAAGCCCCTGAACCCCTAAGCCCCCTGAATCCTCACACAAGGCCAGTAGCACTCGTCAACGATGACGTGGGTCACGTTCCGAAGGAGCTCGTCATTCTCCAGCCGCCGGAGCAGGACTCCTCCCGTTCAAAGCAAGCTACGCTGATTTTGGCGCTGAATGTACATGGGCCCTATCAAGAAAATCGTGTCTGCGGGGCTTATGTACATCGAGACTATAAAAAAAACAATGGTAAGATACCGGCAAGAAGCATAACAAGAACACAGAGCACAAGAAGAACAGTAGCTAAGACCGAAGCGAATCGCCGTGAACCCTAAACGCTAAACCCTAATCGGCTTAGGGGTTGCTTCGGTGGGGGAGCTTTGGGTAATGTCCGCTTCTGCCGTAGCTCAAACCCGTCTCAAGAGAGACCAACTACAAGATAAACATTGAACTAAATGCCCAGGGCTTGAGTTTTAGGGTTTGGGGTATAATAGCCATTGAACTAAGAGCCCATGGCTTGTATCATCTCAGCTGTCATCTGTCTTCTTTTCAACGCGGACGTCTCGCTGTGGCTATCCGGCCCCCTAAGACCTCCACGTAGCTCCGCGGCATGGTGTACCAAACCCAGGATCCAAAAAGCCAATCCCTTAACCCTTTAGTATAAGGTGATATCTTTGGATAAATCAAAGTATCATAGACAAAAGGGTTTTAAGGGATTTGCTTGTTGGATCCCGGGACTTACAATCTCGGTAGACCTTAGAATAAGTATATGATCTAGGGTTTCGCCCTAAACCCTAACCCCTAAACCTTATAGGGTCTAGGGATCCAGGAAGCAGATCCCTTGACAGTATCAGGGTCACAACTCGGGGGATCTGCTGTTTAGAGTTTCCCGGGGGCTGGTAATGCACCTAAATGGTTACAGATACTATTCTTTTTTGGGGGCCTTCTTATAATTGTAGTATAGTGGACCCACACAACTTATTCTATATTAGACATTTCGGCCCTGCAAAGCATATGCTTTTCTGATACTGGTACTTGCGCCGTTTGGGGTTGTTCGTCATATCTTGGCACATCATGTACTGCCGCTGCACGAAGAGACATCCCAAACCCTCAACTCTAAACCCTCAACCCTAACCCTCAACCCTGAACTCTAACCCCTCAACCCTAAACCCTAAACCGTAACCCCTAAACTCCCACGCCCAAACCCTAACCCCTAAACCTTAAACCCCCAGGCCCAAACCCTAACCCCTAAACCCTAAACTCCCAGGCCCAAAGTGCCCCTAAACCCTAAACTCCCAGGCCCAAAGTGCCCTAAAACCCTAAACCCTAGGCCCAAAATGCCCTAAACCCTAAACTCTAAACCCTAAACTCCCAGGCCCAAAGAAATGGGCCTCAGAGCCCTGGGACCTGAGCCCATGGAAGCCCAAACCCCGAGACTTGACACCCCGAGGGCCTTTGCGCCTGAAGCCTGACACCTTAAGTTCGCGGTTTGGGTTTTTTTTTTAGGGTTTAGGGTTTAGGAGTCTAGGGTTTAGGGGCTTAGGGTTTAGGAGTCTAGGGTTTAGGGGTTTAGGGTTTAGGGGTCTATAGGGGTCTAGGGTCTAGGGGTTTAGGGGTTTAGGGTTTAGGGTTCAGGGGTTCAGGGGTTTAGAATTTAGGGGTCAAGGGTTTAGGGGTTTAGGGCTCAAGGGTTTAGGGGTTTAGGGGTCAAGGGTTTAGGGGTTTAGGGTTCAGGGGTTTAGGGGTTTGAGGTTTAGGGTTTAGGGTTTTAGAGCTTCAAGCCTGGAGTACTGAAGCAAATGCTACGAACAAGAAGTGCCCAAGCGCCCTAGGGCTCCTGTGGTGCAGACCAAGATCTTGGTCCGTGCCGAGCGCTTAGCCTCTTTCAGCAGGCTTAGGGGCTGAACCCTAAACCCAAAACCATTTAAGGGTTTAGGGTTTAGGGCTTA